TAAAAATCTCTTGTCTAATATAAGATATCTTTTATGGGATTATCTTGCGAATAAGATAATCTTCGAGACATAAAAATTATCCATTAAATAATTATGGAATCGAATCAACCATTTCTTGCGTAATGATCTACAAGAGTATATTTTTCATAAACTGTTTTTTTCCAACTATGCGCATTTTGAGTAAATTTTGTGCCACAAACCTTTTACGATCTGCGTAAAGCTATGCTGTTATCGTTGGTTCTGACGTTAAAAGATGCACGTACCGGTATGAACACAAGCATCGCACGCATATCGCTTCACTCACGCAACGATGTAAAAAAAAAAGAAAAGTAAAGAGAATAATCAGCGAGAGAAACAAAATATACTGGGAGCTCTTAAATTTCTGTAGCTGCTCGACTGCCGCTGTGAAATTCATTGCAGATCCGTAAGCGGAAAAAAATTTCTAGGACGAACGCGAAGGAGGTGGAGTTCGCGAGTTTAGCGTATAGAAGAATTTGAAAATAAATTTTGCACTCTATGCTCAAATTAAATTCCATGGTATGATGAAAAAAAAGACCCGTGTCCGGCGAAGAGAAAGAGAAAAAAACAATATAAACTGAAATGATTCTCCACTGGAATGGTTCAGTATAAACTGCTTGTCCTGTATGTACTAAAAATACAACATCAAATATTACGTTGACTTGAACACGGATTATGTTATGCTTGAATAAGGCATGTTGATTTAATTATTGCAAAAAAATATACCTATAAGTTAAATTCATTTATAAGGCGGTTGTTCCATCTTCAGTAAACAAATAATTTGGATAAACAAAAGAGTGAGCTGAAATTTACTGAAAGGTGGAACGATCAGCCTTAGGGTTATAAGTTATAATACACAAAATTCATAGCGTAGCATAAGCATAAAGTAAAACTGCTAAATCAATAAGCACCCAGCATAAAATCGCCATATTGATTTACATAAGATATTTATTGATCCAGCGGTCCTATACTAGGTTTATGTTATATTATACATTTTGTGTATTATAGTCCTTAAAAAATTCGAATGAGATACGTCAGCAACAACAAAATTAATTTAATAATTTTTTCATTTAGTCTTATAAAATTTGAAACGTGTTGAATGATAGTTAAAGGAAAAATGAGAAGTTCGTTTATTAAGCGTCAGTGATATTGAATATCTGAGTCATATATCTTCAAAGAGATTTCCTTCACCGGTACATTTCTTATCTCCAGATATTCCGTGCAACATGGGTGAGGTAAGAACAATGCACGAAATTAAATTCTTTCGAGTATAGAGAAGCTATGCGGACGGGTGTTACGTACAGAGGAATACCATTCGATTTTATTTTTTCGCATAACAAGTTAAGTGTGAACGCAGCACAAGTAAAAATTCGAAAAATTCACGGAAGCATGCTGTCGATTTTTTCACGCGGTACATATTTAATCTCCCACATCACTGATTTAACCCTTTCTGTCCTAAATTCTGTCGTGAGCAGCACGATTCATTGACATTTTCGTTCGACGTTGAACTGAACGACGATGTGTCAACAGATATCGGGAACAAATTCGAAAACACATTTCCGGTTAAATGAAATATAATAAAACAAGTGTTTACGACTCTACACGACTGCATACAATAGCCATGCAATACGCAACGCGGCGTGACGGATGTCTATCCCCGCATGCGAGGGTGGTCGTGCAACGGCAAATGGCATGTGATCTGTCCCCGGATGCCAATCGTTGGAAAATTTTGGTCGTGCTAGAATGGCTGGATCAATGTTTCGCGAGTTACTGCATTGGCCTTCTGATGGGCAAAGCGACCGCTTGCGCATGCAGTACACGAATCATCCTGGACGCACTCGCTAATTGTCGCAATTGTCGCATGCGTTCTTTTCTCTCCGTAAAATAGCTCTCTCTCTTCTTTTTTTTCCCTTTCATCAATATATATTTTAACTAAAGCAAATCGCCAATGTATAATTGAAGACCGTTGACCTTTATCCTTCCAGAAGTGACGATTATTGGTTTATTGGAGGTCACTCAATTATAATATATATTTTTTATATTTATTATATCTGCCAATTCGAATTATTGTTATTAAAATCAATTTAAAGACGCCAAGATCCATTTTAACCGAATATGATCTTTCTCGTTTATTTGAATAAATTTAGTATTCATTCCTCTTTTTTATACGAGTTACGTCATTTTAAGTCCTTGAGATGAATTAGTGCCTTTTAGTCAACATAAATTAAATGGGTCTCACAGATTCAGTGTCGGTAATTGTGTTACAGATTTTAACGTCAGCTTTGGAAGGTTAAAGGCTCTATATATTATAGAGTACATATTAGCAGAGTTTTAGCGGACTTGGAGCATACGTGCGATAATAGCATTGAAAAAGCTGGAAACACGGCACGGTAACGATAACGATGTGGCAACAAGTGCTTTTAACGTTTCTTAACAGTAATGCTCATTGCATTCTTGGGAAAGTGCTCAACATGCTATACTCTCAAAGGACCTTACCGTAACAGTTTTGCGGCATGATGAAGCACGATGTGGCCGTTGGTGAAGTAGTAAGGAAAACGGAGATACGTCTTACGTTGTCCGGACCATTCGAATGAATTCTTAAAGCAACCTAATGTTTCCTTTGTCTGCTTGTACCGCATTCTTCTCTTTCTGGCTTTTCCGGCATCATCGGCATGTCCGTTTTCATAGCATGTTACACTCGATCTCTTAAAATACAGCTTCTTTCTGCAGTACTTCTTTCTATATATATAGGCACGTATATATACATTCGCAAGATAGTTCTTACTTATACATTTTATTTTTGTCCTATTTTCTTTACGAGGTCTTTCTACGAAATGGATATGTAGAAGACATACGTAGTGTGTCTAAAGCAGCCATCGCGCATCGTTAAACATTCAAAAATTCAAAGTAGAAACAGCTCGTTTTTTCCTCGTTTCTCTTATATCGCGGCGCAGCAGTTTTCCTCGCCTTTACTACCTTCCGAGGGGATCCAATTTTTCTCCGGCATAACATATCTTTGAGCCGTGAATAAGAAATTTTTCAAACTTTCACGCAAGCTCGCAACAAGTGAATTTCATTTAATTTCGCACATGTTCTACAAGCAATACCTCAAATGTAATTTGAACAAGATAATGTTGTGTGAAATTAATATACGTACGAACGGCATTACCGCGTGGGCGGTATGCAATGCGCACGCCGTTCCCTATTCTCTTTCTTTTGCTCGAGATCGGTGGTAAGAAAGCTTGGGAGGAGTACCCGATCTGTCAAGGCCAGCTGTTGGAGGGCGAACTACTTGATTTACGCCTTTCTTCCATCTTCGCTCGCGGAACATCCTCTTTGCCTTTCTCCGCCTTTCTCTTATTCTTCCCCTGAATGCCCTATTTCATCAGCTTAATTCGCTGGAGACGTGAATGGTCCTAAGTGTTAAAAGCTAACTTTTATCTTACTTTTTGCCTGTAAACAGGTTTAAATATGACAGCGTCGCCGTGAAAATACAAACCACCGTGGCAATTTTCCCATTCACTGCGAAGTTTGCCGATCTTTCTATGCATCGAAGTAATAATAAAGCCTATTTCGAAGTACGAAGGCTTCGACTGATTCGTTACCCGCATAACTTTTGCCTCTTGAATATTTCTCCACAGTCTTAACGAGTTTCTGATTCTTAGAAAGTTTCTTAGAAATGATTATATTCGAGGCTTGTAGTTGCAAAACTCGTTAAATTCACTGTAAGGTATTTTGAGCGCAAAGACAAGAAAAACTAATTGCTTGTCTATAAATTAACAGACTCAGATATATTTATATATCAAATCAGTTTGCTTATTTAAATATTAACCGATAAAACTACATTTATATCTATAGACACTGTATACGCTTTTGTCATCTACACATCCTGTATGATCTCTCTTTAATTATTTCTATTTATTCATAGACGCGTATGAATATTTCTAAATAAAAAGCTCTGACTATAAATTATATCTCATAGGATATAGCTTCACGGGATACTCTTTTATGTTCGTTTCAGATAAACTTTTTCTGCGAGGAAAGATTTGCGTCGTATAATTTTTTAGGAGTTACACGGGGAGGGTGGTTATTTTAGTTTGTCTGTACAATGTGGTTGTGAACTGCGGAGCGAATCTGTTTACTACCCAGTGTTGTAGTGTGGTATAAAAAAAATTTTCGTCTGCACGAAGAGAGATGATAAATTCCTGATTTAAACTGCCCTCAGTTTTATATTCCTTCCTTTAAAGAGCTTTTCAAGAGTGTTCTTACTGTCATCTGCTATTACTAAATTATCATCGTCTGTCACCAGCATTACTTTCAACGCTTTAAAATTATGTGTGTATATATACATATTTAATGTAAAGTAAGAATTTGTAAATCGGTTAAATAAAATCTAAGGATAAAAAGTGATTACATTCACCTGTTTGTTTTTCCTTTGTTTTGTCATCGTACATTTCAAGAAAAAAATTTTTAAATATATTTTTTTGAAATTGACGTTGTAAGGATTACTTATCCAAATATTTGTAACAATATGTTTTTTTTACAATAATTCTTTACATTTAATTAAACGTTATTGTTGATGATATTAATTGAATTGACGATACTAATCTAAAGAATTATTGTTAACAAATCCATTGTTATAAATAAAAATCTTAAAAATGTCAATTTTTTAAAAGTGTTTTTCAGGCTTTTCGCTTGAAATATATGTATATTTGTTTTAGATAGCACATCTTTTATATCTTGGATCGCACATGTTACTTTCATTATACTTTTTTCTCGAAAAACTGTTCCGGAAAAATTCCGAACGAAGCATCTGTTCTTTATTTCACTATATTTCACTATATTTCACTATATTTTTCATTCGAAAAACCATTTCTAAAAAATTTTAAGAGAAGCATCTGTTCTTTATCTCGACGTGGAAACACGCGCAATAACGACACTGTTATCAAGGTTTATACAGAGCATTTTGCTTTCTGTTCCAGCGTCAAGACGGACATGGGTGCAGCTGGTGCGGTGTCTAGGCTCTACATTGCAAATGCGAATAGAAAGGACAGCGGGAACTATAGCTGCGCCCTGGCGAACGTAGCAGCAGCCACTATAGTGTCCGTCCACGTGCTAAACGGTACGTTTCCGCTTTGAATATTTTCGTATTTCGACGCGTTTCCATATGTCGTTGATATGCGGGGCGAGAAAAACGCGACAATATCGATGTAAAAGCATCAAAAGCATTAAATAAGTAAAAATCGCCCAATATATAAATATACATTGAGAAACTATATAAATAAACTACATAAATATGTGAATACATTAAAAACTACACAAATAAACAGTTAAAAATTATTTATCAATGTTTTCTCCGAGAAATATATTTTCCGGATGCAAATGGAAAATATTGTTAGCTAGAGTTTTACTTGAAATTTAACGGAAGCCGTTAAAATTAGCGGGAAAATATCCGCGCGTTTCTCTGGTGCGAGAAAACCATTCTTCACGCGCGATTCAAACACCTCGGGCGATAATTTCTCTTATAATTGTGTATCAGAGAGAATTCACTCACCCGAGCAATCAGTCGCACTTGAAATCACAGTTAAAGGATCAGACTCTGCTTGCTACCGATAACGGCGTTTGGCAGACTCGGAGGAAAGCAGCGAAGGATGCCAGTCACCTTTTCGTACGCGACGCCTATCGATATAATTTTCCACTCCTTTGCACGGTCGATAATTGATTTTCCACGGCTTTTCAACGGCGCCAATGCCTATTACCGGTCTCTCTTTTCTTTCCAACACCGCTTCTCGTTTCTCAGCTTGCCGCCTTCATCCGCCTCACGCTCCAAGAGGTCGGTCGCTTTCTTCTCCGCACATCTCCTTGCACCAATCGATCGTGTAGGAATACAAAGCTGTGATTTCATCAGGGTAAATAACTGGCGCCGGACGCGACCGAGTTAGAGACGCTGCCGTTGACGGGTCGCTCGATCGCTCTTCGTGATCTTCACTTGGTCTCCATTTCCGTTTTGCCAACGAGTTTCTTGCACCACAAATGACATTCTTGACTGTATTAATAGAAAATATAGCCCGACTCCCTCGATGAAGGGGAGAAAGAAACGTGGAAGGAGTATATATATATATACTGAACTGTCATTAATATATAAGATGTTATTAAAACGCTGCTTTTATTCTTATGCCGTCATCAGTACCTTTTTTTTTTGTTTCGGGTGGGTAACTTGTACTTTTTTGTGTACTTCTGTCTAGTACCAACGCGTGGCGTATTCATATAAAAGTTCGTTGAGAATATATATATAGGTTGACCCATTTCTTTCTTCAGCAAGCCGGGTTGTCGCAAAACTCTCCTTCCTTTTGTAATCTTCATTCTCACGGCATAGTCAAATTAGTGTTTAAAATGTACATTATTTTCGTAGCGCGCGCTAATTCTTATATTTCTAATTTTGTTATGAAAGCAATATAAAGGATGGAAAGTTTCGTTGCTAGAAACAACAGGCACGAAGTAGTAGAATTAATTTATCGTGTTGATAGATAGATGCTCATTCATATTCAAAGTTACAAATCATACTATGTACAATTTGATGGGAAATAGACAAATATGATCATTCTTCGGTGGAATTGGCATGGCTAAATATTGATACGATTTCGTCCGAGTTAATTCGATTAAACAACTGAATGTATCATCCTAATTTACCGATGCAATCCGTAATCCAGGAAAATTGCTGGATATGTTTAGCTTAAACTGTCTTTCTGTTCGGCGAGCAATTTTCAGCGTGTTGCTTCCGCTTTTGATCTATTGCTGGATGACACGTCGCTGTTTTCTCCCTAGTGCTTTTCTCTTTTATCTCGCGATGACGTAAACCACAAAACTTTCGTATCACGACGAAATAGCACGTAAGTCGAGTCGATGACGCGTGCTCTTGTGGGAAATACCGCTAAACACAGGCTTTATAGTGGCGGATGGGCGATGCCACTGCAAGACGGTCGATACTCTGTGGGTTGGGAAAACGTCTTTCGAACTTACGGCGAAGGAGCTCAACGAGTTTTCACGGCGGCTTTTCGCGCCCGGGGCAGAACGGCTCAGAGACGCTGCATTTATATAGGTGATGTGCATTATTTACGGCGGATTACCTTAAGTCGGCCCAATACGAGAGTTCGATCTTCTTCCGGCAAAGTTTGACGAGAGAGCACTCAAGGAAATGCTTGGTCGCGACGTATAATCTACCGAGTTCCTTTTTGCGAAACGATGTTAATAATCTTTAGTTGCTCGACCGACGACTACTCTATTCCACTGCGAAAGCTAGTTTAGAAAGTTAGGTTTCCGTAGTTTGTGTGTCAGGTACTTCATTTAAATTCGTATACACGTGCGCCCTTTGGCACTTACTCTTTAATCAGACGTGTTCGATCAATACCCGGTTACGACGAAATTCTTAACTATGTTCCTCCTACGAAAACATATTATCGGCAAAACAGGCGTCTTATTATCTGCTGCAAGAGGTACGAACCAGGTAGAGAGTTAGAGTTAAGCCACCGTTACCATCGCGATGAGTATGCGGAATGCGCAAGTCGGAGAGTTATTACCAAAAGGTGTTATGCCAGTAACTACAAGAGCGATCATAATACTGGAAGTAATGCGAATTTGCTTGACAAGTAGTCGGACGCTCGAGGCTCGCATTCGAAAGTAGTTTGCCGTGGCGAGAGTCGATCCACGTTCCGAAATTTCGTGTAGCTCTGTGCATCGCGAAATGTTTCGTACATCCGACTGTGGCTAGTCTATCCGTTTATGCATGCGATTGGCGCTAATGATGTCCGTTGGAGTGAGCAATTTGTGAGACGAGAATTGTGGTCATCTTTGACGATCGTCGCCACGAGCCGCATCCTAATGCTTCGATCAATAGAAGATCGATTCTTCGAGCCGTGCTTTGCATGAAATGATCATCGGATTTCAAATGTTCCCCCTTTAACTGTAATAGCTCTGAAAGCTTACCACTATCTGTGGCAATGGTTCCAACAAATTTTGTTATATATATCGTTCTTTGACTTTAAACTAACACAATACAATAAAATGAAAAAAGAGGAAAAACTATTTTTCAAATTGACTGAAAATTACTAACTAATCAGATCATATCAGTAAAAATAATATTTTCTTGAAATAATATATTTTTAAGTTATTAATATATTCTTAAGTTTGTTTCTTCAATTTTTAAACCATCAACCTTTCTGAATTTTGACGTTTTGACTTTTTATAAAATAACTTATTAATAGAGTAATGTTTACCTAACTCGTTTATAATAATAAAAATACCGTTTTTCTTTGTCATTTTTGAAGTAGAAGAGCGATTTCTAAATAAAAAGTATTCGAAATATTATTGTTAGTTTTATTTTATTTATCAAAATAAATAAAATAATATTATAGCATAAAATATTTACTCAACTTATTCACTCTCATGAAAATCATGTTGTTTAAATCGTACCATTTTTTAAGTAAAGAAGTGATATATCTTTCTGTGCACAAGATGAAGTAGACCATGATATTACACTCGATCGTCTTTATTTTATTCACGCAAAACAAATAAAATGATATTACAGTTTAAATGCGACGCAATATTAATATTTAAATAAACTTTACAGTTCTTCAGTTTAATATGTAAATTTAAATCGCACTTTTGGCGCTGAGAGAGTGCGTTGGGTGTATAACAGTTATACCAAACAATAAAAGCCGCTGCCTCTGACGTAGAATTTACGAAAATGAAAAAGAGAACGGAATGATTTTGGTTCCTTTGCAGCGAAATGCTTGACGTAGTTATAGCAGCCTTTCTCGTTATTTCTTTCCAATTAATATACCTCTTTAACGATATAGTAGAATACCTCTTTACAATTAATTATTCTCGAGATATGCTCGTGATTATTAATTAAGTGCAAGCTGGACTGGAGATGAAGTACCATTACTCGGTACTATCTCATCGCGTTCGCCTGAAGGGCTTTCTCGCACGACACCTCTCTTTCTCCTGTATTTCAACCCGTTCTCTTACTTTGTAATCTTTTCACTTTCGTTCTCTTCTCGTAGAAAATTAAAGTCGTCGATAAGACCGTATATTCCGGTATTTCTATCCTGTAACATAAGCAAGCTTCGCTTTACAGAGTAAAAAATTAAAAGGATTCGAGTAAAAGCGGCAGACTAAGTCTGTTGTGACACTAGAAAAAAAAAAAAGAAATAAATGTAAAATGATAGAATAGCAGATTAACCGGATGAAAGTGATAGATGAGAAAACGTAGAAGAGCGCGTGAGTGGCAGACTGCTCGTTCTCGAAAATGAGTGGTTCTTGGCCTAGTTAACGCCTATGAGGAGACAAGTGACTCGGAGTTGGAGCAGTAGTTGGCCGGTTGGTTCTGGCGTGTATATGTGCGTTTGTGTGTGTACGTGTATGAATGTGTGGGTGTTGAAGCTGGGGTAGAGAGGTTATTTCGCGGGGTGTCACGCCCTACCCATTAATAATCGTAGCCGCAGGCTCCAGGAGGACTACACGTCGACCCGCCTCTATCCCTTCTATGACACGGAAGTCTGCCCTCGCCTCTTTGGCATCACTGCACTCCGACGAGCCTGACCCTCTCACTCTCTTTCTCTCCTCATCTTGGCGTCCTTACGTCGTCGACGTAAGGCCGGGCGTGAGGAGTTTGCAAAACTCTCGTCGCAAGATGTAGTTAACAGGCTCGCTCGCGCGTGGCCATGTATAATACACAGAAGGAATCTCCGGAGGGCGCTTGACAGCTCATTTCGCATCTGCCTTTTTCCACCGTGGCGATCCTTTAGGACCTTGGCTCTAGGGCTGCCCTCCAGAAGACCGGCGGAAACAGAAGAAACTGATATCTCCGAGTGTGTGATTAATCGCGCGGTTACGTGGAATATTACACAGTTCTCGAGTCGGTAGCGTGAATTAAAATTCATGCCCATGTCCTCGCTGAGATAACGAAGTAGTAGCAATTAATTTTACTGCACTCAAATAAGCGGTCGATGCAATTTGGAATTGAATTTAGTTCATGGTCTCTTCGAAATCTAATATTGATATGTTCACACTAAAATTGCGGGAGATAGTACGAACATCAAATCTGTGATCGGCTTTGGTAAATTTGTGAAGATCCGAATATATCATATTGCGTACTTGCACGATGGTGCAACGTGATTAGTGAAGTCAATGAAATTATGTCGAATTTGCACGCTACATTACGGTATCAGGATATGTATGCGTGCGGCATATGAGTGATCGGCTGATTAATTCGTAATTAAGCAGAGATCGAATGGCGAAATATTCTGCATAATCCGTGTCAAATGAATAGGTATTCCCACCAATTAGATAAACTACTAAATATTCTGCACGTTCTAAAATTCGCTTTGTTCTTAATATTACACACGCGCGCGCGCGCACACACACACACACACACACACATATACATATATAGTGTCCCATAAAAACCGTAATACCGCTTAAGGAGATTCCTGAAATTATGTTGAAACGAAAGTCTTAATACCAAAATACCAAAGTTATAATTTTTTTAAATATAAAATAAACGCTATAAGTTTCTTAAATATAATAAATATCAATAATTTTATCTTTACATATGTAATCTTTATATTGATATTAACACAAGCGACAATTAGTTTTTACTTTTAGTACCTACTTTCGTTGTACTTGATGACCGCGCAAATATAGGCTGTATGATTCACTTTAATGCCTATAATTAAAAAACTATTGTATTATAGCCTCAACATTTTGATATTAGAATTTTCGTCTTAAAATGAATCAAGAATTTATTGTTAAGCTTTTTCGATTTTTATCCGATTTTATACAGGATATCCTGTATATTTTTTAAAAATTAAAACCGAATATAAGATTGAATAAATTTTTAATTGTTAAGAATATACATGTAATAAATTATTGATGTATCTAAAAATTTCGCTAAATGTAAATCCAAAGATAAGTACATAGAAAGAACGGTTTTGCTGAAGTATTTAAAAAAGATAGATACAGATCTGAAAATAATTTTATTGAATTGTTAAAATAATTATGTAGAGGATACTCACGCTTAGTTACTAAAATATCAAAATTGTGTGCAGCATTATTCATTATACTTATGTTTTCTACATAGTAACTTTTATTTTTTTAACAAAATTATTTTCAGATTTGCATCTAGCTTTTTTTAGACATGTAAGCAAAATCATTCTTCTCGCGTGAATACGTTGATCTATCTAAATAATTACATTAAACGTTCAGGCTAATTGCTTAAAGTTTGTAACCTTATATCATTATGTCTGAGCAATCCTACATAATTATTTTCATAGCCCAACATAATTACTTTCAGATGCTTCTTTTTTATGTACTTATTTATGTAGCAAAATCGTTCTTTCCGTGTCTCCGTGTATAAGTCCGTTTTTTTGCTGCATTAACGAAAACGTTTTCAATAAGACGAGTTGTGAGACGAGACGAAATGTCTCCAATGAGTATTCAGAAGATTCAATTAACGAGACGAAAATTCGAGATTAAGGGCTGGTTTACCGGGAAGGCGTGTAAACAGAGTTGTAAATTTTTCTCCTACTGGGAGCATTTAATTGAATCTTGGGGAGAAATAGTCGTTCGTATGACTAGCCGTTAAAACTGCTACGTGGATAGCATGTTTTCGACTTTAGAAAAAACTTCAGAATCGATTGTGCCAAATGTTCAATTATGCTAAGAAAGCAAAGATGAATTATCGATTTAATTATGAATTTAATAGAAGGCAGAAAAAGAAGAACAGTACACTCAATACCTGTTCGAATAACGCGAATATCAAATTACGTAATGTGATTTAGTTGTCAAATATATTTACATTCACTTTGCGTGCATTTACATGCATTTGGCACTGTAACTACATATAATGCAATCTAATATTACACGTTATAATATCAAGTGTATTAAAATATATATTACTATCTAATTGTATTTATAATTAAACATAGTTACAACTGCATGGTTGGATTACATGTGGAATGGCAGAGAAATTTGCTGCCATTATATATAGGAGACCATAAAATCTAAAATGCGTTATTAATTGAATGGAATGTGAGGTTTAGATTAATTAATATAATACATATTAGCACTTTTTTTTATTACAAATTATGTTATTGAATTCTGCGAATATGAAGCGAGCGCGGGATTCCTTTCTCAACGTCGCATTTGTTTTGAAGTTATAAAAGAGAATGTTTTTCCACGATTGCGACAAGCGGTTTCGATCGGCCATTTACGAAATTCGTGTAAACCGCAATTCTTGTCACTTTTGAATGCGACGACCGCCCGTGAGATTGTATCGCATTTGATATTTTACCACGAATTTTATGGATGACCGACTTCGCGTTTATATTTTGAATTTTTGGACAATTCAAAAGCCAAATACTGGCATGGACAATCAGTGTGTGTACCAATCTTTCGGCTTTTATCACGGTACGCCGTGACAGAACAAATAAAAGAATTGAACCGTTATTCCATTTGTCCGTTGGAATATGTTTCGCTTGTTATGGCAGAGAATAGATTGCTTACAGTGTATATACAAAGTAAAAGTATCCTTATTCTCAGAGTAATTGCTTTTAACAGTTAATTACTGGACGTCTTTTCGGACGCAAGATGATTTATTATTTGAGTTTCTTTACGTTTTCCTTGCTGCTGATAAATTGAGAAATTTATACCCAGAATAAATATTAGGAGTCTATAGTAAAGCAGACTAAAAACACATACAGAAAATATTATTCTATTGCTAAGAAAAACGATTATTGAATTTATACTTTCTTCCTTTTAATAAATAATAGTTTTTTAAAACAAAGAATAAGAATAAATACTTTCTTCATAATAATCTTAAAATATATACTTATTATATATTTAAAACAGAAAATTAATTTTTCTTTTAAAACATATTGTAAAATTGATCGACAAAGCGACTTTATATAATAAATAAATCGAATTATTTAAATTTAACAATTTTGATTAAAGTATTAAATTTATTGGGGGATTTTCAGAACATGTTTTGAATATATTTAATGCTTGTAATGAATATATGATAGATTTACGGATATATAAATTTTTGAAATTCTTGAAACAAATAATTATTACTTGCGTACAGAGTATGTATTTTCTTGTGCAGAGACAATAATAAAATACGATAATGGACGTAATAATTTCAAGATGCGAGGCTAAAAACAAATAAAAAGTGTAATTTAAAGACAGGCAAGAAACGAACAAATGAAACGTTATAATAACAAGACATTTATCGATCGGTCTGAAGTAGACCAGTTCGACGTAGAAATATTGCTCTCAGTTATTAACGGAGATTTCACACGTACAATTCATGTGGTACTTTCTTTAAATCCTCTCCTTTTTCATCACCTTGGAAATCTCTTATTACTAAATTTTAAATTTTGATTTATTTGTTTTAAAAATAAAACTAACCTTACCTTAGTGTATTAGAATGTAAAAAATGCGTTGTTTTATTTGAAGTTCAGTATTCAGTTTCTCGCAAGCCATAATTCGTGTGAAATATAATACTTGTTAAAACGTTACGTGTGTTGGAAAAATGATACCGGACTTTAATCTCTACGTTCTGCTCGTGGTGCAATATCAGCAAAATATCGGGGACAGGCGACGATTTTTCGTAAACATTTCAAATATTTTTGAAAAATTCAACCTGCGGTCTCTCTTTAAAATATGATACTCCATATTGCAAATAAAAATATTGGGAGGAAAGAGAGGAGAGGGCAGAGTATTAAATTAATGGCATTTGTTTCTACTTTTTGTTACAGGAGAGAATCCGGCTGCCATGCAACACGGCGGTACCACAGCCCCGAGGGCGACCTTTATCTTTACCGTTGTGATATCACTATCATCGCTCTTAAGGTGACCGTGATGACCCCGATGCATTTTGGACCTGCAATCCGAATGGTGCTAATTTTCTCTTTCCCCTATGGAGACTCCGTGCGCCCGGAATGTCCTCTCGAAACGGACGGAAACTTTGGGCATTAGGCCCTCCGCTCCTTTCCGCATGCACGCCGCATGAGATTGCTACGAATTACATATAGAAAGGGATATACGTAGGTATTCTCGCGAAATGTAAGTACGTGTGTGTGTGCGCGGTAACGACGGAGATATCATCCGAATCCGTTTCGATCGTGGACTTAACTTTTGGACAAGTAGCTTCACTGTGAAGCACCGCGTCTCGCAGTTTCGTCGTACGGCGAGACGACGTATATCAGTTTCCACAGAGCATTTCCGAGCATCTCTCGAGAAACTTGACTAATCGCTTCCAGCGGCGATCAATGCGGGATTTGCGTATAGAGGAGAACGAATAGCGTTCGTGCTCAGAACGCACACACTGTAAATTTCAGGAAGAGGGATAGAAACTTCATGTCGCTCCCTCATGTTTGAGCTCTCGGTACTAACGTGTTGACGATGCATTGTTAATGCGTATGTTATTTGCGCGTCCGCATGTTTAAACGCGAATACATTAATTAAGAAAATTTCGTTTATGTGATATGTAACGCCCAACTATCTATGGCATACGTTCGCGATTGTGCTGAATAAAAAATAGCCAAGCGATGATTCGATTGATTCCAATCAAAGTCGTTCTCATTTTATAATTTTATCCTCGTATCGTAAAGAATTTCAAAATATATACAGCAAAATAAAATATATTCTATTTATTATTTAAATGTGAATTCAATTTAAAAGTATATCGTTTCTCTATAAATTTTAATACATCATTTTTCGGAGGGTGTAACAACGAAAAACTGTATTGATCGAAAAAGACGAATCTTGGCGAGGGTAAATACGTTTTATAAAATTTGAAGATTTGAAATGTATGTATATATATACTTTTGTGTATATATACTTTTATATATGTATATATATTTGTTGAATTTATATTTTGTCTGTAAATTGTTATATACTTTTAGAATGAGATTAATTATAAGATTTTCTGAAATGTCGAATGACACCGTCCAAAAAATTTGGCACTACTTACTAATTACTATTGAGAATATAAATTATCTTTCCTTTCAACTGATCTATGAAATTATGTAATTGCACCCTCTGCGTTGTCTGAGGGATAATAAATAGTATCCCCATGTGTTGAACTGAATGTTATAAGTTGGGTCATTTTTAATAGCTTTGAACTAACTTCATCTACATATCAGCACCTCTTTTGCGTATACAAAATGTAAATTTTTTAATTAAATGAATCAAAGCTCAAAGACATTTATAAAAAATTAATAGATAATAATTGGCGTTTGCAAAATTACGATCGCTATAATAAAAAATTACTGAAGCAAAACATCGATTTTATTCATATAGTTATCGTTGTTCGATTTTATCTGACAAAATATGGAAGCAATATTTTCGAGGCTTGCAATGGCTCAAAGAAATCGACGCCTTTGTCCTGCATAAAACAACGATTGCGATACATCGTCGTTGTTCACTGGTAGTTTTCATGCCCGTGGCGCGAAAAATATGCGATGAACGCGGCCGATGAGGATCTATTCATCGTGCGTCATTCGCTCGACATTGACGAACATCAAATAAAATTTGGTTATCAAAAGATTACGTAATTATCGCGGGGGTAATAAACGTTATTTGTGAAAATTTTACACAACCATTTTTCTCTTGCAATTATTGAGTACATTTTTATTAGCCTACAAATCGATATGGTTGAGTAACTTTGGAAAATTTTATACTGTTATATTTGCATATTTTTTTGTTACACGCTTTTTTATTTTACAATTTTCTTTAAAAAATATAGAGGAAAGGATATACATATTCCTATATTCTCTTTATATTTAAATTACTCAAATATTGGTAACTAAATAAATTTTTCGTTTTATTTGATTTTATGTTATAACAATTTATACTTCTTGCAAACATAGATAGTAACATAATTTATCAGTCACTCTAAAAATGAAAAGCGTGAAAATACCATATTATTTATACTTTATAATACATAAAAACCGTGCATCTTATATGAATAAATATGAATTTTTTATTGTTGCGCAAATGGCTCTCAATCCGTATTGTGTGTTGTATAAATTTATACATGTTTTAAAAATATTAAATCAATTTGCATAATTATAAAATGTTACTGAAGTTTAATGAAACAATTGGGAAAATAATGTAGATGCAAAATAAATTTAAAAAATTTGAATTAAATTTGCAAACTGAATAGTATTTGAATTTTCGAAATTTTACAGCTCGCACGATACAGCGGTAAGTATACGATTCCATGAGGTATGTAATGCAGATTGCTCGGGCGGAACTGCAATGTGTAGGACGTGTGGCATTGTAAAAGCGCGACAAGTCGGACAAGGATCGATCGGGCAACAAATTACCGATCGCGCCGATGGAAAATGAACCGTTAAGCAGCCCTACCTGACAATGACGTACGGTTAGTTTGGCGTAAATCAGTAGTTTCTACTCGCGGCAATGCCCTCGTTCGCCGGCTGTAATGTGATAATTTAACAGAGGCATTATTGCACGAGCAGGTGCAAAATATTTCAACGAGGCGCGTGCGGCCTCGCGATCCGTTACGCTAAAGCCACATCCGCGCGTAACCAGCGCCCGCGATAAATTTAATTATTATTTCGAGCGAGAGAGGTAAAGCCCTGAATCCAGGACGAGTATCGGGATGCATTGAATCGTAACGACGGCCAAGCGTTTCGCGGGCAAACTTTTCATTCAGTCGCGTCAGTCTCGTCCTGTACTTCTTCAGTTTATCGTCAGTCTCTTTCATTTCTCGCGCCGCGCCGTTTCGCTATCTCGCTGGAAGTTTCAAGACTAAGTCTGTTCTATATCTCCTTGTTTCTGCAGGGTGCAGAATTCAGACGGTCTTAAATCCGCGAGAGCCCAATTATGCGAATTAATGTCAAACTCACAAACTACGACTGACAGTTTTATAACTACATCGGTGGCGCAAGAACCGTAGATTTTACACGTGAACTATTCGCTGTCGCCCGGCGACAGACAACACGGCCGAATGTCATCAGTTTCGATTGTTTGCTTGTTCAACGTTTGCTCACGCGCGGAATTCATTTTCGAAGAATGTAAGAGAAAGCTTTCAGCTGCGATATCTAGCAAACACCGTTTATTCGTAAAAAAATATTTAGGGCCTAAGATTTAGAGTTTAATAGAGCTCTTCTTAAAACATTTTTTCATTCAATTTTTTAATAATCTCATTGAATTGTTTTAATAAAATGACAAGTATTAATTTATAACTGTAGTTTAAAAATTACTTTAGATTAATTCCCATGCAAGGCGAGCCTCGAAGATATTGCATGTTATTGTAATAAAATAATGACAGTAAAACGAGATAATGGATTTACGGATAATATTTCCATTGACAAAAATCGTAAAATTTTGGTTGATAAATGTTATCGTTTGATGAATCAAATATAAATACAAAAAAAAATATGTAACGATTAAAAGCATTTATTCGGAAGATACCCGCGCTTACAATCAATTATTACGCAGGTTTCATTTGTGAATAATACAATTGGTAGATTTTTTATATCAAGGTGAATTTATACGCTTATCTGCACACATTGCCTTTTAATGGTCTTTTACTCTTAGAACAGTTCTGCGTTTGGCCTCGCTAATCTTCAGAAGATTATCTCTAATTAAAAGTGGCCCTCCGGAATAAGCACTGTTTTTCGTTTTTAATATTTTCCCTTTGTTTTTCCTCGCCCGGCCAGTGTGCCGCCATTGTCCACTGTACGACGTAACGATTATCGCTCGCGCAAAAGTCTCTGTATAATATCATCCCCGGGCGTGTTGCGTATGGCGTACGAGAGCGCGAGATTGCGAGCGAAATAATCTACGTGTGTTCGATAATGTAATTCGAAATTAGAAGTTAAGCCGCGGGCAGCTATATAATTTCTGAACGATGGGAAGGACGTGCGAAAGTGTGGTGTATGTACGCCGCGTCATGCCGCGCAAATTCGCGCGCGCATGTTCTCCAATATATTCTATCATCATTAATCATACTTCATCTCCCTGCATCCATACTAATGTATTCACGATAACGGTTAAAGCAAGTCTGTAAGCACATCTGTACGTTATTGGTACTATTATATCATTATTAATGCGATTAAAGCGATCGAACCCATGATGCCCAGTCCATCTGCAAGCGCAAAGAGAGAAAGAGTGAGAAAAAATAGAAAGAATGAGAGAGAGAGAGAGAGAGAGAGAGAAAGAAAAAGAGCGAGCAAGAGAGAGAACGAATGCGCGCGTGTGTGTTGTGTGTGTGCGAGAGAGAGAGAGAGAGAGAGAGAGAGAGAGAGAGAGAGAGAGAGAAATCATTCAATGTCGGTATTCACTGTTCATTATTTATAAAAACTCGAACGCAGAATACAATAAAATGTATAGTACTTAATCTCGAGTATTTACTCATTTCCTCCTTCTTGTGACTACGATAATATTTTTCATAAGATAAAGGCGCATTGTATGCTCTGCGTCTCGGCATTTAAATAGCTAATTGGCTTGAGTCCTTTCTGTCGTACGCATTAATTCCGCCGTGAAAAATTTGATGAACTTTTATTATTTCAAATTATGTCCGGAGACTCTCGCGCTAGAGAAGGGAAAAAAAAAAAACCGTCGGAAGGACATTACTTAGCATCCATTACGAAGAGATATCCCATTAACTCAACTCTATTGCATCCTTTATAGTCATTTTATTCGACGAAAAGTGAAATTGCGCGGCGCAGGCCAAGATGATGAGCTTTTTAATAATTATTCTTGGCGTATGACGATGGAAATCGATGTCATGCCCAGAAATTACGTGATTGTTCTCGTATTCAATATTTATTCTACACTCATGATATTTTCCTTCTGTACTTCCTCTTATCTTTCAAAAGCATAACAATTATTC